CCCAAAGAAAGAGCATTGTTGTTCTGTCCACCATCTTTCTCCAAATCGTCCAGTAGCTGAAAATATCACAAAATAAAGGGTCTTTACATACAGCATTATCAAAATGAAATTATGTCTATAAATAGATTCAAATGAATGCATGTACTATAAATAGATTCAAATGAAAGAATGTTCTGTAAACAGCTTCAAATGAAAGTATGTACTATAAATAGATTCAAATGAAAGTTTGTTCTATAAATAGATTCAAATGAAAGTATGTACTATAAATAGATTCAAATGAAAGTATGTTCTGTAAACAGCTTCAAATGAAATTATGTAATATAAATACATTCAAATGGAAGTATGTACTATAAATAGATTCAAATGAAAGTATGTACTATAAATAGATTCAAATGAAAGTATGTACTATAAATAGATTCAAATGAAAGTATTACTATAAATAGATTCAAATGAAAGTATGTACTATAAATAGATTCAAATGAAAGTTTGTACTATAAATAGATTCAAATGAAAGTATGTACTATAAACAGCTTCAAATGAAAGTATGTACTATACAAAGATTCAAATGAAAGTATGTACTATAAATAGATTCAAATGAAAGTTTGTACTATAAATAGATTCAAATAAATGCATGTACTATAAATAAATTCAAATGAAAGTTTGTACTATAAACAGCTTCAAATGAAAGTATGTACTATAAATACATTTAAATGAAAGTATGTTCTATAAATAGATTCAAATGAAAGTATGTACTATAAATAGATTCAAATGAAAGTTTGTTCTATAAATAGATTCAAATGAAAGTATGTACTATAAATAGATTCAAATGAAAGAATGTTCTGTAAACAGCTTCAAATGAAAGTATGTACTATAAATAGATACAAATGAAAGTTTGTTCTATAAATAGATTCAAATGAAAGTATGTACTATAAATAGATTCAAATGAAAGTTTGTTCTATAAACAGCTTCAAATGAAAGTATGTACTATAAATAGATTCAAATGAAAGTATGTTCTATAAATAGATTCAAATGAAAGTATGTACTATAAATAGATTCAAATGAAAGTTTGTACTATAAACAGCTTCAAATGAAAGTATGTACTATAAATACATTTAAATGAAAGTATGTTCTATAAATAGATTCAAATGAAAGTATGTACTATAAATAGATTCAAATGAAAGTTTGTACTACAAACAGATTCAAATGAAAGTATGTACTTTAAATAGATTCAAATGAAAGTAAGTACTATCAATAGTTTCAAATGAAAGTATGTACTATAGATAGATTTAAATGAAAGAATGACCATAAATAGATTCATGATTAAAGACCCTGTGTGTTGTAATTGAGGTTGTATACCACACTTAAGTGAAATTTTATATATGTATATAATTATGCTTATTAGCCAATTTTTAAACATCTAAGAATATGTACTGCAAATATTTGTACACATTAAAATATATGCATGCATTTCTTATTGAAAAATTTGACATAGATTTTATAGAAAATAAAAAATTAATTACCTCCCTTTATTTACATGAAATGTTAAATTCGGTAATATCTTTATAAATAATGCTTTTTGGAACTCACAATATTGATAAATCTTAATTTGAGCAGCATATTTATGATATAAAACCATAAAAAATGTGTTACAGGATCTTTAAGTCTATGCTATTTCTCTTATAAAGTTTGCAGCTATATCAAATATATTTCTATATTTCTTTATTAGACTGCATTTTGTAATGTTTCACTCTGAAGCTTGAAGAATGTCGTCTCTCACCCTCTAGTGTCGAATTGTACCATGAACCATTCAATTTTAAGGTTTGATCAAATTCTCAGGTGCCTGACGTCTAATATCCCCTTTAAAACTTCTTGTATATATACAATGTATAATAAACATGTTTATTATATATATAGAGATAGGGTACAGGGGTGTGTGTTAGACGTCAGGCACCTATGATCAAATTACAGTATTCTATGAAATACTTACATTCTCTACGTTTACTGGTAAATTCATATCTGAATTAAACAGCTGAAACAGAACATCAGCAATGATATAATTATATTCAACATGCATAATGTACAAACAATACATGGTTTCAATATGATGAAATAAATATATACGTCCTTCACCCTATTTTCAAATGTAATCTATCATTTAAGAACAATGTTCCTTTCATATTCTTATATTCACATTAAATAAGGTAATAGTATAACAAGCATTCCTCCTCCCTGAAATTTGCCTCATTTAATGCAAGAATACTGAAATGATTATACAAGTTTAATATGAAGGCCATGCAAATCAAAACAATGGGTGATATTTTCGGTCTCGTAACAAAATTTGTTGACATTTATTCTTAAAACACAACATACAGAACCGAGGAGAGCCAAGTGAGAATACTTATTTTGTCAATAAATACTTTTGAAATCAATTATACAGGACAAACTACTTTATTTTGGTTGGATTTTTTGTCACATTAACACAACAGAGGTCATATGGCGACTAATTTCCAGCTTTACTGATGGAGGAAAACCTCAGGTGCCCCTCTGTACATTATTTCAGGCACAAACGTGCATTTAAGTAGAACCATCAACGTTCTGTAAGCTTGCTGGGTAGCTTCCTCACATTAAAGAATCCAAAGTCCCTGACAAGATTCAAACCCACAGTGGTAAGGGGTTTGAAGTCCTTAATCACAAGGCCACAAACTCCCCCATGAAACTTATTAGATTTGCTGATGAATTTTATAATATAAAACATAAAATATACTGTATAAACAAAATACCCTAAATTGTACATTATTATTCATAGAAATGGAAATTATTCCACCACAAGTTATAACTTACTGAGAACAGAGTGCTTGGATCAAAATTATACTGACTACCACTCAGCATATCCTTCAAACCATCAATGTCCTCCTGCAGTGTTTCTAACTGTCCAGATATTTCATTTCTGAAAATAACAATAAAATATATGTATGAGAAAGATGCAACAAACTTTCACTTTAAAGCAGAAGGTAAACTCCTTTTTAAATTACCAAAGTTAACATGTGCACTAAGATGATAAAAACACATAAATACGACATATGGGTAATGATGACTTTCTTGTATTACTACCTTAAAATATATAACCTTTCAAATCACAATCAGTAAAGTTAAAATACCACACAATTAATTAAATGATTTTTTTTCCAATAATTAACAAGAGCTGTCAGTAGGGTAGTTCACTTGACTACTGAAAGTAAAACAAGTTCAAATAGGGTCATAATTCTGTCAAAATCCATGTTAGAGTTATCGGGCCACCTATTATGCTCTCAAATAAATGTGTGAAGCTTTGAACCCATTCCCTTCAGCAGTTTTGGGGAGACCAACTTGCATGCAAAAACTTAACCAAAATGTGACACTAACGCCAACACCAACACATGGATGAGTATAATATATGCATTCTCCGAAAAATGGTCAAGCTTATAAAAAACAAGAGCTGTAGGTATGAACACATGCCTGATTATTCTCAATGCCTGAGAGTATAACAAGAGCCTGTGTACGCAATAAGCAAATTCATAAAGGGAAGATTTTATTCAGAATAACTTAAGCCATAACTGTAACGCCAACATTAAACGCTAACAAACAGGTGAGCAGGATTGCCCCACTGTTCTTAGAAAAGTTGATCTAAAAATTGATTTCAGATATGGATATATTGAAAAGATTTCTGTAAATACATCCTCATGCACAAAAACTCTCCATAGAGGCAAGTCTTTGTATGAATCATGATAATTCCTACGTATACATAGACCAAAACCATGGAAACTACAACAATAATATTTACAACACTGTTTCTATGTCAATACTCCAAAACTTTGAGAAAAGTTTCAAACAAGTGATATTTATTTTAGCCAAATTTTTAATAAATAGGAAATACTACATGTATGGGCTTCTGATTGGTTGAATTGCACACATAACAATTTACTGCAATCAACGAGAGCAATACATTTCATTAGAATAGTACATGACAAAACTTTTCTTTTATCATATACCTACAGTACAGTAAAATAGATTTAAAGAAAACAAAATGAACTAATTTCTTTCCTGGTTACTGTTATGTTGTTATAGGGAAGAGGTTTCTATATACAGGTAGTCAAGGAGTGCAAGAACATTGTAAGTATAAAAAAAGTTTAAACGGTTGTATTATCAATTCTGAAAACACACATGACTAAGACTTAAATTTCGGAATAGTTGCATTCAATAATAACTTTGAGAAAATTGTTGAAAACTTTACAAAATAAGCAGTTTAAGAAAAAGGAACTAAACAAATAAACTTGACTGAACCACAAGAAAACTCCTAAACAGGGGTTGAAAACACAGAACATAAACAAAATTTAAATTTATGAGCAATGGTACAAACAAATAAAGTAAAATTATCTTATTTAGTCTCTGAACATTGATGATGTTATTCATTTGCATATGCCATTAGTTTAGAGCTAGGCTAGACAATCTCTCTCAGTATTCTATAGAGTTGGACATTGTAATTTCAGTATCCAGAGATCTAAATCTGTTAAATCTAAAGATCTAAATCTGATACAAGATTGGACTATAATTGAAATATACCACTCTTTATTGCATATAAGACTGGATCAAGACTCGTATCTACTGTTTTAACAACCAGTCCTAGATAAACCCGTCTTACACCCCTTCATGTATATCAAGGCACATGCTTCAAATGACACCAATCCCATGCCCCTTTTTATGTATAAAATGCATTCTTATGAAGATGTCATTTTGCTGTAAAGAATTAAGTTGTTAATTCATTTGCTAATATAATAAGAAAAGGCTAAATTCAAATATTTAGTTTCCGTAATTTCTTTACAAAGTATGATTTACAAGTAATCTTCAAGAGAAATAATCAAACACTGGCTGTTGTTACAGACATGAATATCTAGCTCTGCGGTTAACTGTTCATCTAAAACTCAGCACAGCCTCGTTACAACAGATACCCTCGTGCTGGATATTCTTGTATGTACTGGCAGCGGGTGTATTAGTCTGCAAGATTCTTATAACCTTAAACTTTTCATACAGATTTAAACATGAAATTTATTACAAGTCACAGCAAAGGATTATTGTTATGAATCATTTTTTCAGCAACAAACTTACGGTGAAGATGTGAAAACATTTGATCTATCTGCTATAGGATGTTCTCTCATGTATCTGAATAACAAAATTGTGTTTATATAACATGTACTCATATTGTGTTTATATTGTGTTTATATAACATATACTCATATTGTGTTCATATAACATGTACTCATATATCTCAAAGATAGCAAGTATATTTAAGAAAGAAGTGGTCATATCCTATTTAACATCAAACATACATGCCATAATTTCTAGGTTACTTTCCACGACACTTTCAGGGAGGGGGCGGGGGAGGGGGTTATTGAGATTAGCAAGCAAACTGATACTAAAATTTACATAGTGGCATAGTGGCATACAACCTACATTACCCGTGTTTACAACTTGCAAATATTATGACAACTCAAACAAGACAAAATGTCAATAATACTCGACAGTTTATCTATCCTTTTTAAAAGTAACAAGCAAATTCGTTGAATTTATATCCCCCGCCGAGTACTGGTTATTACTAACACAACAACTGAAGACATAAGGCTTTATTTATATATTTATCATGGCATAAACAGTAATATTCTTTGAATTTGATTAATATTCAGGGCAATAACAGAGCCATAACTCTGTGTTAAATAGTAATATCAGGAAATGCCAATGAGATGTATGCATACTGCATAACTAATCAAGAGCCATAAATCTGAGTTTTAAGTGTCTGACCAGAACAATTTCATTGAATTCCAGCCAGTAGTTGCAGAGAAGTAGCGCGGAAACGATTTTTACTCTATATGCATACTATATATCTAATCAAGGGCCATAACTCTGAGTTAAAGGGTCTGACTGGAACAAGCCAACGATATGCGCATCTCCTCTTGATATTGATGATTCCCATAAAGTTTCGTTGAATTCCAGCCAGTAGTTGCAGAGAACTAGTCCAGAAACGAAATTCGGATGGACGGACGGACAACGCCAAAACAATATCCCCCTCCCGATTCCAATCGGCGGGGTATTATTAGGGTGTCATAAAACAGTACAGAGCTTTGTTAATTATGGTCAATTCTCTATTTTATTTGATAAAAATAGCTGAAACATTCACAGATTCCTGAAGACTTCATCACCTCATATTTCAATAGTGTCGTAGGGTAGAATCAATTATAATATATATGGGTTTTTTTATTCATATGTAAGACATGGCCCGACAAGTATTTTGTACTTTTATTTTAAGGGACATAAGTCATCAAAAGGATGCCTCCGTGACAGTCACCCGGATGTCATGGTCATTATGGCATGTATACATCAAATAAGAGTTTTTATGTATTGGAACTCATCACAAAGGCCGCAACATAAAAGTATCCTAAACATTCTATTAGCATGATATCTCACTCCTTCATAAGTCCCAACTAACAGTCACAAAGGATACAATGGTAATTCAGAATAACTGACAGAAGTGCACATCTCTAGATTTATGTTTAACTTTCATGAAAATTTCTGAATTTTGTTTTTTCAATAATAAATTTATTGCCAACTATACAGATAATGTGGCTTAGTATAATAGATATAAGTTACCTAAAAATTTTGAATCATCTGAATATAAAAACTTAATTTTGTGATTAAAAAAAAGATAAAAACATTAACATAATTTGCATTTAAAAAATTTTTAAGCAAACTTTTGGTAATTAACTAAAACATACAAAATTTTTTTAAAACAATTCTACTTAAATTTTAAAATTTTTAAAATTTCTGCTGTTTTTTTCCCCTTAATTTTCTATGTTGTGCAGCTTTTAATCTATAGTTTCATTTTTAAAGATATACACTTCTATCAATCTATTTCCTACATATACAATATACATTCATGCAATCTACTCTATGTTTAACTAACATACATGTGTAAGACAAGGAAATACATACAATAAATTTGTTTACCAATACCGATTCTACAATAGCAAAGATACAAAAAGATACAACTGTGCATGCAGGTTAATACCGGGTATTATATTACATATGCCATACATTAGCTCATAGCCCACTGGTGTCGACCTAATCTAGCCTAGCAACCAGTTTAGACCAAAATCAACCATACCAAGTCCATGCCGGCTGATCATGGTCTGCACTGTTTGCTATTCACTTATTGCATATATTTTGAAATTATCCCTTAAAATAATGAATGGTTTTGTCCAAATTGAATAAATGAACCAGACCATTAAGATATTGGGATGGGGGGGAGGGGGGTAAAGGTTAACAGACTTGATAATGTCACCTAGCCTCTATTGACTTAAAGTTGACAATGTAAATCATAGAAACTTGTGAATCCAAATTTCATCACTTGACATTTAAAACAGCAATCTTTTTAATTTTTGTAAATATGTATAACCATATTATTATAACCCCAATTATCATCAATTTAAGCTTCATACATTAATGAAAATAAAAACTGGATAATTTGATCCTATTTGTTTCTGTTGTTAACACAAAACAAGGTATCCCTTTGTATAATATTTCAAACACAAGCAGGCAGCTAAGAAACCAAAGATCCTGCATATTGTATAAGGTTATATAATATAGCAACAGTCATTTGGGTCAAGGTCCCATGCATTCTATCTTTTTATTTCCTTTTTTTTTTTTTTTTTTTTTGGTTTGGGTTTATACATCATACCAACACTGTATAGGTTATATGGCGACTTTGCTTTACTGATGGAGAAAGACCTCAGATGCATTATTTCAGGCAGAAACAGGATCCCGAGAAGAACAAACCACCGACGTTCCATAAACTACCTGGAAAGCTTTCTCACATGGTATCATTTGTAAGAAGAGATTTTTGTAATCACTAAAGGTCTTGACATTATTCAAGTAAGAAGATTATTTTTTGACAAGACAATGCATAGCTACATTGATTAACAAATACAGACTTATTGGATTACAAAGCAACAATATGGCAATACAATATACTTAAAGGAAGATTTATTTGTTTTCCGGGTTATTAAGTAAAGAGAAACAATGAATTGCCACTCACTTGTCCAGAATTTGTGAATTTGAAGTGGAATCTCCCATAGAATGAAAATTGGAAGGGTCTACTACTTGTAAAAGGTTGTTCAGATCTGTGCTATCAAGGCTGACACTCAGCATGTCCTGAAAAAAAGAACAAAGTACATGTATATATATATTTGACTAATGTATTATCATGGGAACACATTAAAGTTCACAGTCTGTCCATTCATCACATACAAAACTTGTGAGCTGAGTTTCCATTACAGAGTCTTATTGCACTTTTATAAAAAGTCATTTCGTTACTTTGGATATGCAAGTGTGACCTTGACCTTTGAGCTAGGGACCTCATTCTTGTGGGTGACACAGCGTCATTGTGTTTAACACATTTTTTTGTTGTTTTTTTAAATCCATACAGGAATGACAGAATGGTTGACCAGACACAAACAGCAGTGCATTTTTATGAAAAATTTCCTTTGAAGTCAAAGTGTGACCTTGAGCTATAGACCTAAACCTTGCTACCATTATCTCCATATGCTTTACATTCAAACCAAATTATTCTAAAATTCATCAATAAATGACAAACTTATAGACTGAACATGAAGTCTGGTCAGAAGGACAGACAGACAGAAGGGCAGACTAATGGAAGCTGCAAACCTAAATGCTTCCCCATACTTGGAGGCATAAAAAACCATTTGGCAAAGCATTAACTTTAGTACAGAATTCCTAAAAACTTAAGTACACTACTCCTGAATAGGTTTAACAAAATTCAATTGAAACAACAATTAAATTTTGGAAATTTTAAACTGAAAATTGAGGTAATTGAAAACTTAATCAGATAAACGCTCACTTTTGATGGTGATTTTTTATCCAGTGCCATATTTTGTGCGGCACTATTTGTCTGTGAGGTCACGGTATGACTGTGACTTTGAGGTAAGCTTCCAGAGTTGGCATTGGCTGACAAAGCGGTCTTCGATCGTGATGGTTTCTGCGCCTGTTTGCTGTAGTTATGTGCTTCAAGTGTTATATCCTCCCTACCAAATGGTAACGAATCTGTCACCTCTTGGATCACCGGCCCACTACTTGATATGTCTGAACTAACACTGGATGGCTGTTTAGATAAAATAATAATTCAATGACAATGAAGACTCAATAACTTCACACACTCAGTAATGGCTAGCAAACAATATCTATGTATGTCACTAAAATATAAGTATAGAACTTGAATCAGCAAGCAGAATGCAGAAACCAGTATTTTTCTTGAATTACCATCCATTTAAGAGACATACCTGAGTACTCTTTAAAAATCTTCTCTCTTGGGGG